GTGCAAACTCCTGATTGCTCTCTGTCCAGGCTTACACGTGTTTTTGGACCCGTGTTTGCTGGCAGTGAATATCACAATAACAGATAGGGATGTGGACTGTATCCATTGAATTGGACCAAAACAACAAAGAAAGAGAGATATAATTGTGAGATTTGCTTCACATGCAGTGAAAGCAGACGTATTTCATGCTTTGAATAACTTCAAAGAATTTGCTTTTGAAGGGCAGAAAGTGGAACTGTACCAAGATCTTGCACCAGAAACAGTAGAGAGATGTAAGCAATGGCGACAGTATACAAGGATTCTGCAGTAGAGGAAAATTAAATATATGTGGGATTTTCCTTTTAAACTGATTATCTGGTATGGAAACTCATCAAAATCTATTACTACAATTACACAGCTGCATGACTTTTTTGAGCAAAGGAAGATTCCCCTCCTTGATATATATCTGGTAGAGATGAGTACAGAAGGAACAGAACAGCGAGAGGGGATACAGCTTCACTGGAGAAAAGCAGAAATGAGAAAAAAATCTTAAAAGGCAAAGGTGGAGTATTGTGACTTGGACGGGGAAACTGAACTTCTCAAGGACACAGCAAGAGTTGTTATCTGGAACTGAAGATAACTGCCAGCATGAGACACCTGCTGCTTGTTAAACATGTAGTCTCAGGAACTACGTAAGAAGACTCCTTATTAAAAAGAGAAGAAAATATAATGTAATGTAATATATTGTAATGTTAGTTAACAGTTCACGCTTATACAAGTTTAAGATATAAATAAGAAGTAGTGTCTAAGTGTGTAAGCAATTAAATATAATCTTTAATAGATAGTGAATACAGCAGGATGTAGACATAAGTATAATATATCCATGAGTTAAGAAAATGCCTAATTTAATATAAAATACTACAGTAAGAGTGGGCTGCAAGACAGGGCAATTTTCCCACAGGGGCGCATACAACTCCTGGCTTCACATCACCCCACAAGGCTCAGCTCAATTATTATGAGCTGGAGGCTTCATCTCATAGTCTATGGTGGGGTTGGGGAGAGGGGGAGGAAAAGGAAAAGGAGGGGGATACAAGGGAAGAGGGGGAGAGAGGGAACAAGGGAGATTTTACATAGACAATGCAATTTAGAAAGAGATGTGTATAATGATAAGAAATGTAGTAGTAGTAAAATATTTCAGAAAATTAGGTTGATTAGAAGTACAGCTTATACAATAAACGTATGTAATGTTAGACAGGAGGGCCTGGCGTGCTCTGGTCCATGGGCTCACGAAGAGTCGGATACGACTAAACGACTAAACAACAACAACGTCAGACAATTTTAGTATATTATCTTATAATACAAATGGTCTTGCCTTGCCAGTTAAAAGATATAGAAACTATTCAAAAACTGGATGCAGATGTTCTGTTTTTACAGGAAACACATCAAAAAGCAAAAAAGAGAGATATTATTAAGCACCTGATGCTAGGAGATCAGTATATGGCAAATTGGACAACTAAATCGAGAGGAGTGGCTATAATCCTTAGGAAAAAAATTAAAACATGAAGTAATGGACCAATTAAGAGACCCTGAGGTAGATGTCCAGCAAAAGGAGGACATGTCCTCCTTTTCAAGCTAATGTCTGCTGTCCAGCAGGCAAAGCTAAAAAGCTTTAAAATGCCCGGCTTTTCTATCTTCATCCCCATCCCCTGCAGCCAAACCTCAAAATGTAAGCCACCTCTCCCTCCTTCCTTGGTTGCGGAAGTAAAGGCACACTAGAACACATGTGGATCTCTCACCCCAAAATGGAAACATATTGGGGGGAAATAATTAAATGGATAGAAAAACTGATGAATCAAAAAATAATTTAAAATAACCTGCCAACCATTATTAACATATGAAATTAGCTCAAGAAAAGAAGAATGTGAAATGGGAAGTAATGTGACAATATGAACTAGTAAGGGTGTAAAGAAAGATAATATACTATGTAAGTAATGTGATAGTATTGTACTACAATTCTTTTCTTTTTTCTTTTAGTTTTTATTTATCTAAAACATAAACATAAAATACACAAATCAAAATACAATATAACTGTGTTCACCAACACCGTAGACCTCTTGCTATAATCTTCTTCTTCCAACTCTTCTTTTATTGTTCTCTTCTCCAGAACTGCATTGATTCTTGATTTGGAGCTTTCCCCTTTCCTCTTGTTAAT